TGTGGCCCGCGTGGGATGTTTTGCAAGGGATTCGCGCCCTCGGCGCATGACAGGAGTATCGCGGGCGCGCCGCGCGGTGACATGAAATCGCTGGATTTGGTAGATTGCATAAGAATCCGATGATTTTGTATGATTTCAGCACGAGCGCGCGGACAGGAAATTTACAATGTGTTGTTGCAAAACCCTTTGGTGTTCTAGGTTCGTATGCCGAAATACTTGCAAACACCTGGTGTTTGGTGCGAGTTTGACATGGACGCGCGCGTGATGACTTTGTCGTATTCTTTGTAAAGGGTTACTGGCATTTGCTTTCTTAAGATGAAGAAATGCGCGCGCAGAGTATGGTTTGACAGGGATGGCGGCGGGGGCGATACCGGCCTGGGATCATCTGAATTCATATTTAGGATGGACGAATGTGCAGAATAAATATGAACTTACAGAACCCCAGGGGGGACCGTTAACTCCGGGGGGGGTAGAGTCGATTCTTTTAAAAAAAGAGAATTAATCACTTGCTCAACTTGAAGCTGTCCTCTCCACTGCTCGTGCAAACATTACACCCTCCCACCCGCAAGTTGGTCGCAAGACCTCTTGAGACCGTGACGGTGGGTACCAAATAGCACTTGGCAGCGACACCGACGCCGACGACGACAGCGACAACAACGACGACGACGACGACGCCGCCGCCGACAACGATTACGACGACACCGACGACGTCTCCAACAACTTCGACGACGACGACGACAGAGACGACGACAACGACAACACCGACGACGACGACGACGCCGTCGCTGACGACGATGACGACGATGACAACGCCGACAACGACGACGACGCCGCCGCCGACGACGACGACGACGACGCCGACGACGACGAAGACGATGACGACGACGACGTCGCCAACGAACACGACGACGACGAGGGAGGAGGGAGGACGACGACGGCGACGACGACGACGAGGGAGGAGGAAAGACGACGACGACGACGACGACGACGACGACGGCGACGAAATAAAAGGGACGACGACGAGACGCCGACGAAGACGACGAGGGAGGAAGGACGACCACGGCGACAACGACGGCGGAAACGACGACGACGCCAAGACGACGACGACGAGGAAAGACAGAGGAGGACGACGGCGACGACGACGACGACGAGGGAGTTGGGAGGACGGCAACAACGACGACGACGACGACGACGACGACGACGACGACGACGACGCAAGAGCGCGCGCGCACGCTTTTGTTGAAAATCCGTGTCGCGAAACCTTTTGTTTTTGTATGCCTCTGGGACACACGATTTTGACATCCTTCCGGAACCGAAGGTTTTTGAAGGATCTCGGCATGCGCGCGCGACGACGCGCGCGTCTGCACTTCGTCCCAATTTGTTGCAGAGGATTCTCGCGACGGCACGCGCGCAGGGGCGTTCGAAAGATTTCGACATGCGCGCGCGAAGCTCGTTTGGTAGTATGTCTTGGAGTTTTTGGGAAAAACTATCGTTATGTTAAAAAAAATGTCGCGAGAGCGCGTAAGCTTTTTTAGAAAATCCGTGTTGCGAAACCATGTGTTTTGTATGTTATTTGGGATCTCAATGTTGAAAGCCTTCCGACACCGAGATTTTTAAAGGATTTCGGCATGCGCGCGCGACGACGCGCGCGTGCGCACGTCTCGTTTTTTGCAAGGGATCTTGAAAACAAATGATTTTCGATCAACGAGAGAGCGCGCAGAGTATTTGTTGCAGAGGATGGCGGGGGGAGTGGTACCGGTTTGGCTGGGATAATATGAATTCACGTTTAGGATGGACGGATGTGTAGAATACATATGAAATCGCAGTACCCCAGGCGGGATCGTGAACTCCGGGGGGGGGGGGTAGAGTCTATCCTTCTTGTAGAAAAGAGAAATTATCCCAGTGCAACCCTACCTAGGAGTTGGAGCATCTAGGAAAGCAACATCTACATCTACATCGACAGCTACATTAACATCTACACCTGCATCTACATCTACATCAACATCAACAGCGAGACTCACATCTACATCTACATCTACACCTACATCTACACCTACATCTACATCTACATCTAAACCTACATCTACATCTACATCTACACTTTCGCATTGGTTTAGCTACATCTACACCTACACCTACATCTACATCTAAGCTAAGCTAAGATGAGATAAGCAACGCTAAGCTAAGGAGACGTAACTGGGGGAGCCGCGGGGCGGATTCCGGGGGAACCACCCGGGGCGGGCAACACTGCCCGGCCCTTTAAGCATATGAAGTAAGAACCCTTCTAGGCAGAGCCTAGGTAGGGAAAAATGCTCAGAAATAGTCAAGACATACTCCAATAAACCTGAGCTAAGATGAAGCTAAGCTAAGCTAAGATGAAATAAGCTAAGCTAAGATGAGATAAGCAACGCTAAGCTAAGGGGACGTAACTGGGGGAACCGCGGGGCGGATACTGGGGGAACCGCCCGGGGCGAGTTGCACTGCCCGGTCCTTTAAGCGTACCGAGTAAGAACCCTTCTAGGCAGAGCCTAGGTAGGGAAATATGCAGAACCGTCTCAATGGTGTAATCTACGCGGTACAGCCGATGCCATGCAAGATACGCGATGCAATCTACAACCCGCTGGATTAAAAAGTGGAGACCGTGGGGGTCGAGGAAGACGCGGTTGGCCTCTCGTTGGGCCACGGGGCCCCATTTGGGAATTGGCCCGATTTGGGGGTCGAGGAAGACGCGGTTTGGCCTCTCCGAAGCGCCGGGGCCGAATGGCATTATTATGAGGGCGATGTCGAACAAGACGACGAGGAATTATCGCCATTTTGTATGCTTGATCTTCCTGCCCGTCCGCCGCGACTTCCGCCTGCATGCCAAACTTCAAGGACCAAGGTGCGCGGCGCGAAGCGCCAACGCAGCCTTATATATGTATGTATGTCTATATATATATATATACATTTATGTACATATATACATGTGTATATATACATCTATGTATAGATCTCGGCGATGGGCCCCCGACAGCGAGGCCGCCCGTTCGAGCCACCAGGCTCTTCTCGGCGACCACTGGGCGATGGGGCGTCGACCCGCCCCCTCCTGCGCCGATTCCCCCCCCAACGTTGCCCCTTGCAGAAGACGCGAGCGCAGCAAGGCAGGGAGTCGATCCGCCCCCTCCTGAGCCGACTCCCCTCCCCCAACGCTGCCCCTTGCAAAAGACGCGAGCGCAGCAGGGCAGGGAGTCGATCCGCCCCCTCCTGCGCCGATTCCCCTCCCTCACCGTTGCCCCTTGCAAACGATGCGAGCGCAGGCAGCAGGGCAGGGAGCCAACGCCCCAGGCCCCGCCCCGACCTCTACGCCCCAGGGCCCCGCAATCCCGCGCGTGCGCACCAGTCCCTGGGCACGGCCTGCGGGCCTGAGTGTTGCGCGCCCCCTGGCCGCGGCAACTATCGGAGCGTGGCGGCGGCGGCGGCGGCGACGACGGCCGCGGCGGTGGCGACAGTGGCGGCGGCGACGGCGCGGCCGGAGGGGGCCCACCTGATGCGCGTCCTGGTCGAGATGAACATCAGGAGCGCGATGATGGTAATGATGAGGTCGTAGTCGCTGTTCCTGGACGAAAAGATGTCGTCGGGGTCCTCGCGGCCGCCCGGCCTCCGCCGCCGCACAGCGGGAGGGGGAGGTGCGCCCCCAACACCCTGCTGCGCTTGTGGCACCAGACGGGCAAAGGGAGAGAGGGAAGGAACGAGACAGAATGAGAAAGAGTGGTGCGAAAGGGGAACGGGAGTAGAAAAGAGAGAGAGCTGGACGAATATAAAAGAGAGGGGGATGGCTCAACTCAAGGAGAGAAGGGGTACAGGATAAGCAGAAGGTGCACTGTGTATATGGATGCGCGCATGCTGGAAACAACGAAGGTTGGGGGCAAGAAGAGAAAGAGAGAGAGAGAGAGAAATGGCAAGATGTGTGCACGTGAGATCCAGCATGGCGGTTGGGAGCAAGAACTATAGACTATAGAGGGCGACAGAGAGGACACAAAGAAAACATCACTGACAGAGAACCGGATAGGCACAACACGTTGCGAGCGAAGCAGGCGATGCTAAACATGCTGCGTGGAAAACATCGCCATGGAGAGGAAGAGAAAGATAGAGAGAGAGAGAGGAAACAACAAAAGTACCCAAACAAAAAAAATGGGGAACGAGGAAAAGCGGAATCAATCATCAAATGGTATAACATGTAGACCGCCTGTTTGCCGTCGCTCCCACGCGCGTCGGGGTCTCGCGTGGGAGATATACGCTGGAGCTGCGCGAATGCACCGAGGGTCATCTGCGCCATCGAACTCGGCCAGGGGCTGAAGAAATGAAAGATGCCAACGCGTGGACCCAACGCGGCAGGCCACTCCCGATGTGCAAGCGATGCGGCGCAAGCCATGAGGCACCAACCCTGAGGCCCGTAGGGCACCAACAGGAGGGCGCCAACAAGAATCGGCGGCGAGCGAGGGGGGGAAATGAGAAGGAGCAGGCCTTCTCAGAAGGCGGCGAGACTTCTCAGAAGCCCCTGCGCCTTCTGAGAAGTGTTCTGTATCTTGGGGGAAGGCTTCGAGAACTTCTCAGAAGGCCGGGGGACTTCCGAGCCTTCTGAGAAGGCCTTCTCCTTCTCGCTTCCCCCCCTCGCTCGCCGCCGACAGAGTGCACAAACCACATAGAAAGCCATACGACACACACACACACACACACACACACATGAAAAGCCTAGCTACCATATGATGTTCTTGTGCCGCGGACCTGGGCGAGCGCGCGCGGGCCCGTCTAGCGGCCCAGGGGCACTGGAAAAAGCGAAGCGTATGCACCACACAAGAGGCAGAGAGAAAAAAAAGGCAGCGCGGCCGCGGAGCAACCAGACCGGCCTCGGCAAAACAATAGGTAAGCACGCACGCCACATGCATCGGTCCACGCCTCCCCCTCCCCCCAGATGTTCAGAGTTGGCGGTGGGTCCGACGAGTGGCACTTCGACCGCAGTCTCCCCCGCGCGTGCCGAGTCTGCGTTTGGGGGAGCGGGGGGAAGTGTGCACGAATCGCTCCCCCCTACCGTAGGACACCGCAGGACACAACGCATGAGGGGCACATCCGCAGGGCACCAAGCGCGAACGGCCAGCCGCGGCAGCCAGGGCAGCACAGTGCGCCTCGGGCACCAATCAAGCATGCTGTGGGAGCTCGACCACAAGAGACCTTCCACAAGAAACCCAACCCTGAGGCCCCAGGGCGTCCATGGATTCCTGGTGTGGGAACGCCACGCTTGCCACAGCAAAGCTATCGAAACCCAAGAGACCCAGGGCACCCTGGAGGCAAGCAGGGTGCTTACTGGCATGGGTCTCGAGTGTGAGGCGCCGAGCCGAGCGGCCGACCATGGCCCCAGGGCACCGCAGCTCGCCAACCACAGGGCACCAGCCATAGGGCACAAATCACGGGGCGCCAACCGCAGGGCACCTACCACGGGGCACCACCGCACAGGGCACCCGTCCTAGGACGCCAATATTTTTTTCTTGGGGGGGGGGGCCAGTGGGGGCTCATGAGGCTTCGGAGACTATGGGCCACAGTCCGATGATGAAGAATGCCATGCCACCTCCCCGGTGGCACAGCGGCCTGCGCCGAGGGCCAACGTTCGGGAGCACCCGCAGACCTCGACCCAGCTCCAGACCAACTATCCTTCTGGGAGCACCCATCTACCCCGCGGAGCCCGTCCTAGGACGCCAACCGAAGGGCGCCGACCGAACCACAGGGCAGCACGGGGCACCAACCACAGGGGCACAACGGGGCACCAACCACAGGGCCCGCCACACAGCGCTGCGTGTTCCACAATGGACCCCTTGTTGCGCATTGCTCCCGGGCCGTCCTCGGCCGGCTTCGGGCGGTCGCCGGGCGGTCGTGGGTGGTCGTCGGGCGGTCTCCTAACGGTCTTCGGCGGTTTCTGGCGGTATTTGGCGGTTTCCAGCGGTCTTCGGCGCGAAAGCTGGACGGCTGCGTTCAACAAGGGGTCCATCATCGAACGCCTCCGACAGCGCTCTATCGCGCCAGCCATACGGCACCAACCACACGGCATATGCCAGAGGGCGCCGCAAGGCACCCCTCGAAGGACCCCAGCCACAGGACACCTCCTCGCGCGTGGCCGAGCGCAGCAGGTCCTCCCTCCGGGTCCTCCCTCCGCGCCGAGCCGCGCCACCTAGCGAGGAGCGAACCACAGGAAGAACTCCTCCCGCCCCCCAGCAGCGGGGGCAGCCCCCGTCGCCCGCGTCCTCCCCGAACAGGGTCGCCACGCGGAAGCGCTGCGCGAAGAGGAACCCGACCCACGGCACCAGGCAGAAACAGGCGCAAAGCCGCCGCTCAAGGCGGACGGCCTCCCGATCGCGGGCGTCCTGGCGCGGGGCGCCCGGGCGTCCTCTTCCTCCTCCTCCTCCTCCTCCTCCTCCTCCTCCTGCTTCTGATCCTCCAACTCCTCCTCCTCAACCTCCTCCTCAACCTCCCCCTCCTCCTTCTCCTCCTCATCCTCATCCTCATCCTCATCCTCATCATCATCTTCATCCTCATCCTCATCCTCGCCCTCATCCTCCCTCATCCTCATAATGATCATCATCATCATCATCATCATCAGCATCATCATCATCATCATCAGCATCATCATCATCATCATCATCATCATCATCATCATCATCATCATCATCATCACCTGCATCATCATCATCAGCATCATCATCATCATCATCATCATCAGCATCGCCATCATCATCCTCATCCTCCTCCTCATCATCTTCCTGCGTGTCAGCCTCCTCAACCTCGTCCCCCTCCTCATCCTCCTCCTACCAATACGACGACGACGACGACGACTACTACTACTACTCCTTCTACTACTCCTACTCCTACTCCTACTACTACTACTACTACTACTACTACTACTACTACTACTACTACTACTACTACTACTACTACTACTACTACTACTACTACTACTACTACTACTACTACTACTACTACTACTACTACTACTACTACTACTACTACTACTACTACTACTACTACTACTACTACTATACTACTACTACTACTACTACTACTACTACTACTACTACTACTACTACTACTACTACTACTACTACTACTACTACTACTACTACTACTACTACTACTACTACTACTACTACTACTACTACTACTACTACTACTACTACTACTACTACTACTTACTAACCACGACTACTACCACCACCAGTACTACTACTACTACTACTACTACTACTACTACTACGACTACTACGACTACTACGACTACGACTACGACTACTCCTACTACTCGTATTACTACTTGTACTACGACTACTACTACTACTACTACTACTACTACTACTACTACTACTACTACTACTACTACTACTACTACTACGATGCCTACTACGACTATTTCTACGACTACAACTACGACTACGACTACTCTACTACTACTACTACTACTACTACTACTACTACTAC